CCATCCGCTGACTCAGCTCGCGCTGCCGCACGATCAGCCACACGCCTAACCGTAGCCTAACGCGCTACTTCTCTGCGTCCTCTTCCCTCTGACTAATTCGCCACCTTCGACTGCGTGTTGGCTGCGGGATTTTGGTATCCACACTAGTGCTGACCTTTGGGTAGCGCGAGCGAAGTCCGGTACAGCACTCGGGTCTCACTACCTTCCAGCCCCGTTCTCGTGCACCTTTGAGTGGGAAACTTGGCACATTACTACAGCTACGGACTCATTTACCTTGCACATGGCACGGAACGTCCTCGGAGGTAAATGTACAGCTTTTCCTTGATGGGACCATTCTAGCCATGATTGTAGGCCTATTATCATTCAAAGGGTCCCAAATCTCAGAGAGCGCTTCAGCGCACCACATACATTTCCTTTACATTCGGCTTGATAAGCTACTACTTGTTTTCAACATTGAGACTATAGAACTAAAAGAACAAGAAAAAGAGTCACGCGCACCTTCTTCCGGTTCTACTTCGAACTCGGTGTCAGCTCCCATCTCGGCTGCTGCCTTCAGCGTCTGTTCCATGCCGGCGATCAAATAACTTCTTGCTGCTAGGTCACTCTCACGGAATTGTGCACAACAGAAGCTTATCTAAAGAAAAATTCAAGCAGATTTCGATTCTCAAAAATTCGAGTATAATTCTTACTACCATAAAAATTTTTGTTGCAATGCAAGCGATAGGCAACAACGACCCATAATGTCACTGTCGTGCCGTACTGATGCCGTCCATTGTCAACATGCAGGGTCCACATCCCGGCCCCGGGGGGGGATGGGGTGCTCAAGGGCCCGCTGGGCGCAGCGGTGGTGGGCGCAGCGGCGCTGCATTGTTGCCGCAACTGCCACAGACGTACACAGTGTGCATATGGCGTTATTCACCATGTGCGATCATGCGGATACGGGGAAACAAGCGGACCCGTTAGAAGGCTTGGGTATTTATCGATGGGGAGAATCGGCGAATCCGGCCTCTCCTCGAAAGCGGTTAGATACGTATCAGTCAGGAGAACCAGCGCAGCGAGCGCAGAAAGCTAGTGTTTCGCCTATTCTCTCACTCTTCACTCGGGCGAAGTGAGCGGAATCAGTGGGTACCTATCCCTTTTCACGTTGACACCGAACTTGCTCGCTCAGTTCGCACACTCTTTCTAATGATACGTATCGGAACCTTCTGTCGGAAGCGCCGATTCCGCCAAGGTTCTACACTGTCAACAGTGCCTGAAAGGGCGAATGCGGCACGACGACGCATCTCTGGCCCTATTACCTGGTAACAGGTCAAAAATACGGAACCGACGCATTCACAACAATATCCGTGCACGCCCTTCATGCGAGTTGTGGTATGGACTGTATGGGGTCGTTATGTGCGCAGTAACATCAATTAATGTGCCGAATTGTTAGCCAGCCGTGCCGCGATCGAAGCAGGTTGTGTTCCTGCCGTATATGCTAATGATAAGCTGTCTTCCAAAAACTGAGTAGGTCTTTTGCGCCGGCACAGTTCGGCTTGATGGGGGCACCACATGGTACTTAGCAAAGGTTGTTCCCGCCATCTTGTGAAGACCTATCCATTCTCGCCAGCAAAGTGGCTAACTTTTATCATTTCGCAGGTTCCTACGGACTTAACGGTCTCACCGAAATGTAACCTGTTAACCACCATGATCTAACAGCGGGGTTCTCCAAAAAAGCACAATGACCCTCCCAAGCCGCGCAGCGCTCTGAACCTTATGCGTGGGTTCTACGCAATTTTTATAGATGGTGCAAATTTCACGCAGCAACTGCCGGCAGCCATTTCACGCTGCAGCTTACAGGGCAATTTCTGCCATTTGAGTAATAATTTGAAGCTGACTTTGTGTCCATGACGGTGTCTTACTCCGTTCGCCATGGTAATAGGGTTGTTTTGACCAATTGATCCCACTGACCTGGATAAGAGTTCGGAATGGTGCTGATGAGAGCGTATGAAGAGCATAGTGTAAATCCTGACTGGGACACGGCAACGGTGTAAGCTGCAATTCGATACATGAGGCTTGCTATTGATTGTGCTAGTAATTTTGAGCTTAATGAACGCAACAAGTAACTTACACTAATGGATTCCACCATGACATCAACGTGCAGTGACAGCTGCTTGAGTTTCGGCAGTAACGGTGGATTTGGACCAAGCAGCCGTCCAAGGTAGCCACCAGGCGTAAAAGGTGAGCAGTCTGAAACGGCATTGTGAGGAAGCTGCACTTATTCTTCACCTTAAATCTGCACTACCAATACAGTACAATTGATATCACCACGATCAGTCGGGGCGGTGTCAAGTGGGTGGTATGAGTCCACCCGCGGCGTTCTCATCACGGGTTGTTTCCTCCAAAATCGATCACTACACGATCACCATTGGTAGAGCAAGGCAGCCGGGGCGGGCTCACTCCGCCCCTCTGACACCGCCCTGACTGATTGCGACGACATCAGCCATATAGATTGCTAACTTTCAAACCATAGCGAATCAATAATACTCGAAGTTCCGCCTTACCTCCAACACTAGTCGTCGAGTAGGGATTACGGAATGCGTCCACTTCCTTCATGAGTATGGTGACTTCGGTGAGATTAGTGGCGAGACGTAGAAGATGTGGCGCTGACGAGGCGACAAAGAGAAGTGGACGACGTCGCCCACGTGAGTCAATCAGACGGCACTCAGTTGGATCGTCGCCAAGCTAAACCTCCTTGAATTAGAATGGTATCTCGCTAACGCGGCATCGAAAATACGAGACTAAAACCAGTTAGATGAGATTAAATAACTGCCCAACAGCAACGCCGGCATGGTCAGATAGGCTCAAAGGGTACTGCTGGGTTGGTGAGGAAGTGCGCCTTTTTTGGCTAGCTTGAAATTCTAAGTGAATCATAAAAGTTTTTAACACTGTGCTTTAAAGTGTTTCAGAAGAATTTCGAGATCTCTGCATCCAAGCCAACAGATGGGCCTTGTTTCCCAGAGAATAAGGCGGCCTGCAGACTTTGCGATAACGCGCGTCGACGCGCTACCATTGCAACGGCGCTCCAATGCTGTAGACGGGGATACAGAAGTAGATGGCTATCGATCGGCGCGTGCAGCTCGTGTTTCGAGAGAGGGTAGAGTAATAGGATGGAAGGCGCTGCCTAATCACAAAATATGGTACCGTGCTGATCTCCTAACCCTCGAGAAATTAGCAGCCCGCGCCGATCTATACCAGTCTACGGCTGTTTTCCCTTCTATAGCACTGGAGCGCCATCCCAATAGGCGCGCGTCGACGCGCGTCATTGCGAAGTCTGAACGCTGATCGAGGAGTATCGGCTGCAGAGAAATAGTTACGAGAACATTCGTTAGGGTTATAAGTCAAGTATCGCCTTTTTTGTATTTTAGTTGTGACTATGACGGACTAATCCGTAGTTTTCATGACTGGTCAGTGATGCAATGAATTTGGCTTTATATTAAACTTGACATTTCCATAATCCCTTTCTAAGTTATTATCATTTTTTTGCAAATCTACTACGTAGTAGACATCCCAGTCACTTATTTTCATTACAGCATGTTTGATTAGCGAGTCATCGTCCTATCAGCATAATGGAACTCCGATCAGGCGCTAATCGCTGACCCGTGCGGATTAAGTGAATCGACGACAAACATATTCGGTGTACGGTAGTACTTAAAGGCTACGATGGCGTAACAAATCTTCGACGAAAGTCGAAAACTACTTAGCATTAGTTACTTTGATCAGAATCCTATTCATCATCAGGAGATGAGGAAATTGTCTTCGCATTCGAGGCATATTGCACAGTGGCAAAAAGTCGCATCAGTGGAATAGACGTCTAATTGTAGGCATGGCACCTCGTACGCTGGAGACACTCACCGAGAGGAGTCGCATTCGTTTGCTGGAGGGGTGTGGGAGTAGTATTTGCCTCAACGAGAAATCTTTTCGTTCGTCAAAATCCCTCAGTTTTTTTCGTTACATGAGGGCTATACATCAGCTTTCACAGCTTTTTTTTGAAGGGGGGGGGGGGAAAACTTCGCAAATTTCGTTCCCAATAGCAAGGCGTGCCCTGATTGTAGGTTGTGTACTTCAGACAGAAAAAGGGTTCGAGGGAGTGCATGTTCACACTTCACTTCCAGCCGAGGCAAAGAAACTAGAAGCGACAACCATCAAACGTATGACTCGTGAGATCAAACCCCTAGGCAGACTGACTCTCTACTTTATATGACCCCACTATTCTATGGCAGACTTGTCTGCAAAGGTGGATGCCTTCAAACGCCTACATATGGCATATAAACATTCCTGTTTGCCTTGAGGGGAGGGGGGAGGGGAGGAGCTTCCATTTCCTCTGATTTCTTTTATTGGTTCCTATTACCTAACAGGTCCAACTTGAGGCAAATCTGTAAACTCTTGTGTAGCTGTGAAAAGTACAAGTGAGCCACTTAGGTCACAGGAATTCACAGGTCTTCACAGGTTATCCAAGCGCCGCTTAGTATCATTTGGTGCCCCCACTAAGCCGAACCATTCCACACTAGCTCGCTCATCCCAAAATTGTTGACTGTACGGAACACTCTCTCCCTCAGCCTTGAGCAAACATACAATAAAAAGTGGACACTAGCACTGTTGCTGTCAGATTAGAGCCAGGTTGTCCACCGAGAGAAGAGCCCCACGATGGCAGTTCTATGCCCTAATGTTACTCCCACGGAACATTTGTTCCCATAAGGATCTTGGCAGTAGCTTCCGGGAAATCCTTCCGTTCCGGCGACCTA